CCAAAATTTCCTTGAAGAAGCGAATTGAAACCGAGTATGTTTTTCTAGCCTTTCTCACTCCCTCTTATTTTTATGTTTTTTTTTCTTTTTATTTTTATTTTTATTAAAAAGTATATAAAAATATCATTTTTTTTTAGTACAAATAAGTCATAATTAATCTTGTATATCAAAATTTAATCAAATAGATGCAAGTATGTCACTAAACTCAAAGTTCAAAAACAATTCTTGTACTTCACGATCCATTCCAAGCTATTCAATTTGACATCAAACGGCTAAAAAGGAATATGACCTCCTTATAATAATGATGAATGGCCTAATGTTATACAATCCCTATTATATTCAGACTTGGATTGGGTCAAGTTAAGACTAGGACTCAACATAGTCTACCTACTTGACTTCAGCGTGCGGTCATAGGGAGGCCCGATCTGAGCCCAATGTTTAGAACACTTGGTGATATTTTAGCCAAGCATTATTTGTTTCTTTGAAAAACGGTTTGGTTGAATCGTTAAACCTAGAACTGTGACTCAAAAATAGGAGAGGAATGCCTAATTGGTGCGGGCGCCTTAAACAATCAAATTAAAGTGACCTTCCAAGCCTCGTCAGAAGATGCATTTTCGAGGTCAGGAACTTTTATAATAGCCTAAAAATATCTTTCTACCGTTAATTATGAAGCTAAAAGCTCTAAAAACGATAATGATGATGATCAAGAAGATATGTAAACACTCAAAAATATTAAAAATGGACAGTGTAGATAATATATTGCAAGATGTATTATTTTTAGGGTGCAGTTTGTGTAAAACCGAGGCTCTAAACAATCAAAATAAAGCACGCCTTCAAATAGTATCGAGAAATATGGTTTCAATACTGGAAATCTTTGTGATAGTCTTAAAATATATTTTGATCTTTAATTATAAAATTTAAAGCTTAAAAAATATCTAGATCAAGCAAATCTATAAAACTTGAAAATCTTGAAAATTGATGATCCAAAAATACATTACAAGATACACTATATTCAAAACTTCAAATCCATTTTTTTTCTCATGTCTATGCATCTTGATGTCCATATGATCAATTTGAGAATATTTAGGCATCAAAACAACCTCTTCTAGTGAAATTTTTGAGGTAGGCTCTAATTTGATTGTTTAGAGCCTCAACTCTACATAAACTTTTCCTTTATTTTTAAGGATTGAAAATCCATCTCTTTTTATTTTTATTTAGTTTTCCTTATCTAACATCTCAAGGTCAAGATGATCATTTGAAGAGTTTTCCAATGTCCAAACAACATTTTTCCAATAGGTTTTCGAGTTGTGTATCAGTAATTACTCATATAAACTTTTTCATTGGTAGATTGCATGTAGCCTCTTGGAAACATATACAATTAGATGGAATAGGTACAAAAAAAAGTTTATATAAGGTTGATACCTTAAAATGTAGAAATAAGGTGCACCTCTAAAATCTTTGAAAGGTTGTTTCAATATAGAAAAACATATAATTGATCATCTCAGCATCGGGATGGATGGAAAAGGAGAAAAAAACATATAATGTCCTAAAAATAATACAACTTGCAACACATTATCTGGACTTTTTATTTTCCAGATTTTCATGCATTTATAGATCTGCTTGATTTGAGAAATTTTTGAAAGTTTAAAATTTTATAAATATAGATAAAAATAGATTATCATACCATCTTATAAATTTTCGACACCAAAATTGCACCTCATCACAAAGTTTGGAAGTGCACCTTATTTTAACTATTTAAAGGTGTAACCTTGAACAAACCACACCCCTTGTTGTCTTAGGTTCTGATCATAAAAATTAACCATTAAGGCCAAAACATTTTTTCTAAAGATTATATGCAAAATATAGATATGCTCTCAGGAAAACCCTTGTTAAGAGTATTTGTAAGACCCCAAATTTTGGAGGAGTGGTCCACCCGACCTAGTGACCGGAAAACAAAAAAAAAGAAAAAAAAAAGAAAAAAAAAGAAAAAAGAAAAGAAACTTAAACATGCATCTTGGATCAGTTTGAAAAGAATCATGCACTCAGATTGCGCACGTGCTGTCCGGTTTTTGATACTCATAGACTCTTATGAAAAAAGATCCATTTGATGATACCAAAGTAGATGCCTAGTTTCCAAATCAAGAAAATCTTCCCAAGTCATTTTCCCCAAGGGTTAAATGACCCTTTTTCTCTTGCGAGACCATATTTTTCCCTTCACATGACATGAAGGCTATTTTTCTTATGTTTTTTCACCATTTTACTTTTTTACTTTATAAATGGTCATGTATAGATGTCATGCGTTTGGGCTCTAAAGGCTCGAGAAATGACCTCGGGTCTTGGTGGTAGTATTGTCGAGTCTTATGTTAAGGTCTCTTACTTCATTCTCACTAAAGAGTAGGGGCCCAAATCCCCACTTACATGCCACTTTTACCTACCAAAAAAAATGCAAACCAAAATGGTGTATTTATACCATTTTCATTTCAGTGTTCTATTAATGTTGATAATGCGTAGGCACTTTTACTTACCCAAAAAAAAAGGCAAACCAAAATGGTGTATTTATATCATTTTCATTTTAGTGTTCTCTTATTAATGTTGATAATGCGTAGGGGTGGCAATGGACCATGACCCGACCTAGGACCCAACCCAGATCCAGGTATGGGTCCATAAATTGGACCAAGCGAGTCGGGTCTAGGTCTAAATCCAAATATTGGACCCAAACATTATTCTGGTTTGGTCCTAGACCAAACCCAAATAAAGTTGTTATTTATATAATATAAAATATTTAAATAATATTTAAATAATATTGAAATGAATATAACCATATATTTTTAGTTATATTATTTAACTAATACATATACATATTTAATATAATATTTAAATATATTGAAATATATATATTTTCTAAATGGTTGGGTCGGGTTCAATCGGATCCGAGTCCGATCCTATAAATATTTTTCGGGTCCAAGTCTGGGTCCGACAGGACCGTTGCCGCCCCTAAAAACATGCAAATGCCCTTTTCAATGAAAATAAACGCAATTTGCAAACCTCTCAACTAGCCATGAGCTGTAACAATCATCATCATCATCCATGTTTTATTTCAACTATTCAGAGTTTGTTACAATCCATAGCTTAATTAGTGTGGTCTAATGCAAACACTAATTTCAATTAGCTAATTTAATGTTTGATAGGTTTTAATTGGTTAGACCTATTGTTTTTAACTGATTTAGACTAGCTAAAAGTAATAAAAGGGCCACTTTTTTTTTGTGATATCTCATATTTTAAAGCTATGCTTTCTATATTTTCTTCATTTCTCAAAATCCATGCCAACCTTTTGGATCATTTAGTCTAGCTAAAAAAAGAATGTCGTATCGTTTTTTTGTATTATATCTTATGTATTCCTGCCATTTAGTTGAGTTCGAAAAGTCTTTTTTATTTTTTTATTTTTATTTTTTATTGCTATTTTTTTTAAAGATCCAATCTAACCAATTGAATTAGTTATTGAACCAATTTTACTTGGACCAAACCCCAAACCGATTTAATGAAACAGTTGCAACAACATTTTCATTTAAGTTCCTACTAATTGTTCAAAGCTCTTTCCAAAATAAAGTAAAGAGAAATTTACATCAATATTCCCCTAAATATACTGATATTTAAGATGCTCACTCAAAAGTTCACTTTTACCTTATAACCTTTTTTCTAATTTTATATCATTTTCTAAATTGCCCTACTGCAAACCGAGAAGATCTAAAGTTGAGTTTCAGGTTCAAATAACTTCAAACTTTCAAAATTCGAATTATGTTAGTGAAAAATCTCTCTAAAAACATTGAAGGGGCTTTGTGGTAACAATTAGGTTTCACGCGGTTCTAGGTTCAAAGCGCTCTTTAGTGCAGGTCAGACACTTAATACACCATGCTGACACGTAATAAAAAACTTAGTTTCCACGTAACATTCATTGTAGGAAAGGGGTTGGCTCATGGTCGGCAGCATCTTGTGTTACCAATCCTGCTGACATTACCTTTTAAAAAAAAAAACTAACTCCTGATCTATCTTGAAAATTTCCAGTCCTAGTCAAAAAATTTGAAAAGAAAAACTTAAAAGAAGATAGTAATTGGTAGAGAAAGAGACTTGAAAGATATCAAAAGATATCAATTGATAGAGAAAAAGACTTAAACGATATCAAAAGATATCAATTGATAGAGAAAGAGACTTTAAAGATATCAATTGGGACTTGGGGAGTATGCGATTATTCCCCTGTTTTCCTTTTTGATAGTTGAGAGCTACTTTTGCATTTTCAAATGCTGCCTAAAAAAAAAGCATCCTCTGATTGAAAAGAAATCATCCAATCTGGTCGGTCAGATCTAAGTATTCAAGAACTTAATATCCCTTTGTCTTTTTGGGAAAAATTATCTGGTAATTCTTAGGTGGACTCCAAAATTTAAAATAAAAAAAATATTCGTTAAGTAGTTCTTTCACCCGAGTAAGTATACAGTATGGTCGTGCTGAAGATTGCTATATGAAAAGTTTTGCACATCAATGATATCCAAGAAATTTTTCATATCAAGGAAATTTGATATCTCAAACAAGTATTTCCTTTCAAAAAAGAAGAACAACGAAAAGCAAAAAGCAAGACATGATCCATATGATCATGATGTAACATCATGTGTTATCATGGACACAAGATCATCACTAATCACTGTCCAATCAAACAAGTATTTCCTTTCAAAAAAGAAGAACAACGAAAAGCAAAAAGCAAGACATGATCCATATGATCATGATGTAACATCATGTGTTATCATGGACACAAGATCATCACTAATCACTGTCCAATCAATGGATCGGATGGTGATCGAGGGAGAGTGCGGCATGCAACTGACATGTTTGGTGTGATCCACTCCCCTTCAACCATTGTCCAACCCGTTAATAGGACGGTGATGATCTCATGACCATGCAGATCATATGAATCGCACCATGTCTTAAGACAATAAGCATACTTCCAAGGAGACCACACTAAGCACCATATTATTTTCTTCTTTTCGATAGAAAATGGAAGTTTCAGTTATAGCATAGAACCAAAAGACTGAGAAAGCAAACAATGGCTTTTGGAGTCTTACCAGCTTGAAGCTCTGAGAAAGCAAACAATTCAGCCACTCATCTCAGCTTTCTCTTTGTTCTCTGGAAATTGGGCTTAATAGGTTGGCTCAAACTTAAAACTGCTTCTTGACTATGCTGAAATGGAACCAGCGGCTTCTTTGCAAGAGCCTGGATTTTTGAACCAGAGTTGAGTATGATTGGTGCCATTTTGGAAGCAGAGTCAACTATAACAGGTGATTTTTTCAAACCAGAGTTGACTATAATAGGCGGCTTATTCGAACCAGAGTCAAGTATAATTGGTGACTTTTTCGAACCGGAGTCGACTATGATTGGTGACTTTCTTAGCTTTTGTAGCCTTGGGGGCTCAAGCCTTTCGAGTATACTTGATGTTTTCTCATCCAAAGGCTTGCTTGTTAACTCTATTGCGTTCCCAGCCTTTGATGATTGGAAAGGAGAAAGTACACTAAAACTGTTGTCATCAACAATAAGCTGCTCCCATTCTTCAGAAATGGCTGTGGTTTCATTAACATTGTATGGTTGGGTTTGAGAAAATAGTTCCTGGCTTTCTGCTTTTTCCATTACCTTGATCTTTTGTGTAGGAGAGAACTCATTTGTTTCTTCACTTTCAGATGATATGATCTTATGTTTAGATGGGAGTGATATGCGGGCACTGAGTTTAGAACCCAGTTGGCTGTCAATTGGAGGTATCGATCTGAAAGAATTACATAAATGTGTTCAGAATTTTGCGTTTCAAAGGTTGACAAAAATGTACAGGAAGAAGGGATTAGATACCCAAATTGTAAACTTTCGTTTACAAGCCCATTGACTCTGGAGTGAAAGCCTCGCTCATGGCACAGTGGATTGTAATCTCTTATTTCCATCTGAATAAAGGAGGGCATAAATGAAACAAGCCTTTGGTTTTTCACAATATTTGGGTGTTTTTGGTTATATGCCCTAAATCATATAAAACAATTAAAAGAGTAGAACAGGAGCATACCCTTGAGAAGCTGGCCTCTATGGACCTCTTCATCTCCACTGGTGCACCGGAATCAGAGGTTATTTCAGCATCAGGAATAGGCAAAATTTCTTCTGATCCAGCAATTCTCTGCAACTTAAAAGGGATCAAATCATGAACTAGGAAGCACTGGTGTCTCTTCTGTATTCTCAAAGAGAAAAATCTCTGAGGTTGATAAAAGAATATGAAGGAAGCTGACTCTGAGAAGCATTGGCCCTTTGTCTGAAGGTTGTAGAAGATAAAAGCATGGAAATGTAGCTTCCCTCAGAGTCTCAGTATTGCAGTGTGAAGTGCATACTAATCCTTGGTCCAGTGAATATAATGTTTGGCAAATACCAGCAAAAACTGTTAATTAAATATGATGGAAAAATATTAGAACTGAGTAAAATTTCAAGAACTAGATGAAGCATCAAATAAAAAGAGGTTCTCTTACGCTGTAGATTAAGTTCTAATTTGTTATCACTTTCATCTGTGGCAGACTCGATGTCATGAGGGGATGAGGGGGTTACAATGTATGGAATTCCCAATATGACACCTGTGACAGGAAAGGAAACATAATGGTTTCAAGGCTAATGTCATGAGAGCTACTAAAAAATTGAGTTCTCTCAAAAGTTAAAGGAACAAAAAATCAGCTCTCTCTTTCATCGATAGAAAGGAATTTTCTTGGATAAGAAAGATGGGACTTAAAATCTTGGGTATTAACTCCAAAAGGCTAAGATCTTGAAGAAGGGCTAATCATAGTTTATACAACAAAGAAAAAAAAATCAAATCCAACAGAAAAACTTTTATTTAAATTATTCCTGTCTAAAACAGGAGAAGTTATCAATTTTAGCGAAGTTAAAAAGCAGCAAGACTTTAAACTTTCCCTTAACCCATCCCAAGCCGGGGTAAAGGAGATGGGTTGCGTTAAGTTGGCAGCCAGCATAAAACTTTCCCACATCTCATCATGAATCATGAACCTATGTTATATCTTATTGAGGGTATGACCCTTGGCATAGAAGAATGGAGGTCAAGAATTCATATAGTCGACCCCAAATAATTGGGATAGGGCGCTGAGAGCTATAAGTGAACTAATTTCTCAGATGTGGGATAGGGACCAAAATAGAATAAATTACTTAGCGATAATGTTTAGAATCTCAGTTCGGGGATGGAACTCGACATTTGAGCCAAGTAACTTTGACAAATCTGAGTAGACTCACCCTATTCTTGCACGAGCCCAAAGAAGGCTAAAAAATTGCCCAAAAATACAAAATCTTTGTTAATTATTTTAAGAATCAATAAAAATAAAAAGAAGTAACAAACATCATTAAAAGTCTATAAAACAAAGAAAAAAGTATATAGCAGATGGATTTTGAAAAAAAAAAAAAGATTTATAGCTTGAAACATTATAAAAATCAAAAAAATGGAAAATAAAAGAAAAGAAAATTACATCATATATTATGCAAAATTCACGGATCATCACAAAAAACATAAAAATTATATATAAACATACTTATACATCATTAATTAATGATATAGTAACAAACTTTTAATTTTTTTAAGTGATTTTAACAAACATGTTGCAGGGTGCCGAATCACAGTCGACCTGTGTCGAGTTTTGAAACATTTCTTGGTAATTAGCAAACTACATTATTCAGGTTTGCGAAAAAATGCAAAACACTATAATCATAAGAAATAAAAAAAGTAATGGGTATCCCTCTGATCAGATTGTATAGTGATTGAGTTTACGATAAGAAACACAAATAAATGCAAAGAGATCATTACTCCTCCAGATAATGGCTAGTTCTAACTCATCCAGTCTATATTATCAAAAATCACTCATTTAAAAAATGCCATGGCCACAAAGGCACAATGGAACAGATATAGCGAGACAGACCTTCACTCAAAGAAGCCAGATTAGTAAGTTCAGTGACATCAAATATGATGGGGTTAGAGGATTGTTGAAGCTTAGCAAGACTTTGAAATGATGGAAGAAACAGAACTGTTTGTTCTCCAATCTTAACGGCATTTTCCAGAACATCACAGATAGCAAGTTCTTGGTTTGTGGCTGGACAAGGGTGTTTCTTCTTATGACCACCCACATCCTCAATGAGCAGGCCATGGCATCTGCATGTCTATTTCAGCATTGAGGAGAGAGAGAGAGAGAGAGAGAGAGAGAGAGCAGTTAAGCAAATCTCATTCCAAAAAATTAGAAGGGATAAACATTCAATCCAGTTGATGTTCTCAGCTTGGCAAATTCTTCTAGAAAAAAGTCACTAAGGAAGAGCGTCATTGCTACCTGGCAAGGATTGAATCCATCGATTATATTAATAGCTGAAGCAAAAAGGTTGCAAGAAATCTGATTTATGGACTCTGCTAGACCGTTCTTGAAACGAAAGACAGCCTGCAAGGGCTCTTCAAAATAGTCCAGGAGCTCTTGCAACAATCTTTTGGCAAGGCCACAAAAAGACCACTTATCTGTTTTTTGCAGCATAAAGGAAAAGTTTGTTCAATAATAATAAATTTGACATTTCACTACATGTCCAAAAAATTTTCTTCTTATATATAAAACTTATTGCAGAGTTTATATGCTTTTCCATCTGCAATTTCTGGTTCTCAGGTATGGGATGATATAACTAACTTCCCAATGCTTTTGCATAGGTTTTCTTGCCTAATTTAAGAATGCCCAACAAGTGCAATACAATATGATAAAAATTGGTATTTGATAACTAAAAGTACGATATGATTTTTATGCTGCTAATTCAGCTTACCCCACGAGCAACGGCGAAACGAGCAATTTTCCAGATCAGAGATATCGTCAACAATTTCCTTGATATTCCTTGAGAACACCCCTGCATGAGGGACTTTATCAAGTAGGATTGCTTCTGATTCTATCATTAGAAACTCAATGGTAATGCAATTATCTGCTGCATCCTGTAAGACCCAAAGGCTCAAATCCAAAAAGCTTAGCTTTGGCTTAATTGTAATGGTTTCCACATTGGATGCAAAGATAGAGCTTACAAAATACTAGTAAGTTTCATTTTCGTGTACCATTAACATTTCTCGTGAAGCCGAGATGCTTTCAGTAAAGAAGGTGCTGATTAGAATCAGTTTCCTCTGGATGCCTTTAGTACCCCAAGAATACAAACCTTCTGTACTCAGGAACCCTATTAGAGTCGATACTGTGGATGATCAAGAAGGTAACTACATTAATGATCAACAGTAATGAGGAACTACAGTGGTTCTTAACCACTTCCAGTATAAGAAGAGTTCAGGACATCAGGTTATATGCAGCATATAAACTTGATCATTGGTTAAATCTATAAAACAAGAAATTCAACCATTGGCCCAAGGTCCTTTTCGAGACAATACTACTGAAGCTTTCTTTTTTTCATCATCATAGCCTTTTTCCAATTAATTGGGGTCAGCTACACGAATCTTGATCCGTCATTCAGCTCTATTTAAGGTCATACCCTCAATGAGGCCATGAGTCCCCATATCTTTTCGGACTATTTCCAACCACTTCCTTTTGGGCCTACCTCTTGCCCTTTTCAATTCTTCCATTTGAACTAACTCACAACTCCTAACAGGTGCTGTACTGGGTTGACACCACACATGGCCAGCCCACCTAAGTCTACTTTCTCTCATCTTATCGCCTATTATAGCTTTCTTTTTTTCTTGTTAACTAAGTTAGGATTACAACGGCCAATATTGTGGAGTTTGGCAAACCCCTGCCAAAATAGAAGTGAAATAAGTGAGCTCAGGTGGCTCAATTGGGACAGTTTTGGTTCTGTCACAATTAATAATGCGAATCCTAACTATGCTTATCCAAACATTTTGGTAGAACTAAAATCCCATCAATTGTAAAAGAGCAAGAGTTCCCGGGTTAAGCCTAATCTTTTGCTAATCAAGATAAGTGGCATTCCAAGACCACTGAACAAAGGATGTTCATCTGGATAAAAGATCAAGATATCCAGTACCAACTCTATTAAGGCTTCAATAAGCATAAGAGGTGTGTTGAAGAACTTTAAGTTAGTGAACAACTTGAAATATAGCAGTTGGCGACAAATGTAATTCACGACTTCATGATATCCTAAGATTAATGAATATGCCATTTTTAAGTAGAGATTGATGTTTGCACAAAAACTAAATAATAGAAAACTAAAACCTTGGCTGCCCACCAAATGATTTTGATGCTTTATATTTTGTAGAGACCTACAGATCACATGCCAAGCAAAGGTTTCTACAGGTCTTTATGGTTTTTGAATCATATGTTACTCATAATATTAGAGTTGTTTTTTATGCATAGGAAAACCTTGTGAAATCTCTTTTACATGAAAAATTTAATACTATAGGGAAGGGAAAGCTCAGTATTACTTTGAGCACTAGATTCTAGCATTGCAGAAGTCATCTGTTCAGGTAGGAAGCAATCAGCTGGCATGCTGTTCACGGCATGATGGAAATCACGGAGACTAAAATTCCCTCTTGGGCTGTATGCAATCCTTAGCTGTCCATCCAAAGGGTAACAATAATAAAAATAATTGGTAGAAACAAGTGCTGTCTATACATTATTGTAACTGTATACCAGTAAAATCATCAGCAGTTCTTCAAGACCAGGAGTAACTTTTTATTAAATATTTGCTACTTGCAGCAGTGGTGATAAATACATTTTGCAGTCAAATACTTCAAGTGATTTTTAAAGTATTTATGTACAAAAAAAATAGTAAAATGATGGTCAAAGATGTGTTGTCTAATTTTCAGACCTAAAAGTATCCCATAAATAAGAATTCATAGTAGCAATAGCTTAGCCAAAAATACACAGGGAACTGCATAATTTCAGGCTAAAATATGTCCTACGGAAACTATTTCTCATCCCTGAAGGTTTTTCATTTTTCAACATAGATTGGAATGCATTAAGCCATAAAATGGCCAGGATTAAGCAAAAACAATTTATCAAAAAGAGGGAGAATCATGTTTCCATATCTGTTTTCTTGCTGAAATATTCAATCACGAAGTTTCACACATAAATGATAACTCATATAAGCAGTAAATCAGCTAGGAAACAGCAGATTCTCCATGAAATTCATCAAAAGAACCAAAGGATTTAAGCATTTCTATCGAATACTTACCTCATTAGAGAGAAAGACTTTGTTTCTGTGGATGTAGCACAACCCGATGCTATCAGGAAGAGTCGGTGATTCTGATTTCCCTTTGCCATTCACTACTGAGTAGAGATTGGCAAGCTGAAGCAAACACTGTTCAAAAAAGAAAGGAAATAAATCATTCCAGGGTTCAATATTTGCCTAAGATCTACGAATTTAGCATTTGAAAGTAAAAATTAAAAATGAAATTACTAGATTCAACGGAAAAGTATAACAAACAGAGTTATCATTAATAATTTTTCATTGAATTTGTGCATCGGCATTGAACTGAGAACATGGAAACAACATCAAAAGATTCATAGCACAAACTCAAAATGATCACAGTTAGACTATTAGGGGACTAAATCACAGATTAAGAGAGAGAAGTAGAATATATTTACCGAAATTGCAGAGAATCAAAAGGATTTCTTCAATTTTCAATTGAAAAGGGAAGAAGAAATCAAAGAATTAAAGAGAACAAAAGTGAAATAGCGAAGTTTCAAGAAGCTACTTGTTTCAGATCATTGAGTAAGAGAGGAGGCAAGCAACGAAGATCCAACACAACACACAGCAGAACCATGGCTTATCTCTCTCTCTCTCTCTCTACTAACTTTAACCGAACTCTCTAGTTTCAAAGGCTTTCTCTCAGTAAATTTAACTAAGCTCTCTGGTTTTTAAAGGCTTTCTCTCTCTAAATTTAAAACTGAACTCTGGCGTTTAAAGGCTTTCTCCCTCCAAAATTAACTGAAATCTTTATTTTTAAAGGCCTTTTCCCGGCTAAGACCAATTCATGTTATTTTTCTTAAAAGAAGAAAAATAACATTTCATGTTATTTTCTTCATATTTTTTTTCATGTTGTTTTTTATTTTAAGATTTTCTAATGTTTTCTTAAGGTACCCACGTAACCGCCCCCATAAAACCTTGTTTTAATTTTTTGTTTTTTTGACTTGTCGATTTACATTGATTCGGATCACTGATAAAGTGACCCAACACAGATCTATGGGATAAACAATTCACCATGCCAATCCAAGTTTTGAAACACTGCATTAGGCTGATATGAGAATGAACAAATTTATTGAACGCTTTTATTGATTTTATATGAATTTGCAAGTTTTATGTTCTCCAATCATTAGGGATTGTATAATACAAAACCATTCACTTTTAGAACAAGGAAGTAAATGGTATTGTATACTTTTATTATTATTATTAACTATTCACATGGAATGGTATCGCTCGTTCTCTTGATCTCCCCGGTAACAAGGGGCTTCACTGCGTATACTCCCTTTAGGCTATTGGGAAAATTACTTTCCATCTTTTTATATATGTGTATTATCTAAGGCCACACAAAGCCGTAACCCAAATTTAGTTTAACATTGAAAAACTTGCAAAATCGACTATCTCAACCTCAAGCAATCATGAATTTTAAAAAATAAATTGCACAGTCGTGCTAGTGGATGTGGTCTCGCTCGTGCTCGTGCTCGTGCTCATGCAACGCCAATTCGCGCACGTTAGCTTTTGGCAGTCAAGACACTTAGCAATTCCATTGAGGTCATATCTTAGCAGATAAGCAATCGTCATGAGCTCAATGCACTTAACTGCATTTCCAAGGAACGGATTCTTGCATGCACAAACAAATTGTTCGATCAGTCAGTTGCCCCGCACTCGCACTTGACCATCATAGTGCAATGGCTAGATCATTGTGCTGATGCCACCATGTAAAGATAAAATATGCCTCGAGAGATTTTGTGGCTAAGAGAAACAGATAGAGCCAAAATACTCCCTTATACGCATATCGCTCATTAACTCCCTCCTATAAAACTCTCTTTTGAAGTATTTTTAAGAACTTCAAACTTTGGGTATGCAACCGTCCCAACTTAGTGATCATAAAAAAAACAATGCCAAAAAAAAAAGAAAAAGAAAAAGAAAAGACTTCAAACCCACTTTGTAATAACATCATAAGATTAAACATAAAACATCTAAAATTTGGCAGGCGAGATCAAAGAGTGAAACTTAAAATCCACTTGTAATTTGAAAAAACTCATGTGATGATTCTAAACTTGTTGCCAAATTTCAAATTGAGATTAAAGTCTCCATTTGGTGCTGGGCCCCTATTACTAAAGAAGGGTGGGGTATTTCGCAACCTGATGTCTTGTTAAATTTGCAGAATCTCTTCCTAATGGGCACTTTTAAGATTAGATTGAAAAACATTTGGGTAGCACCGTCCTTAAGGGGGTTCAAATTGAACTTTGATAGAAGTTCCCTTAGTAATCTTGGGGTATGTATAGGTGTGTTGCAGAATTCGTTTGATGAGGCTATTTTTACCTTTGCATGGCCGGCTAGTATAGCCACTGAAAATAGTGTTGAGCTACTTGCTGCCCTAGAAACTTTGTAGATCTTTATTTCTAGAAACATTGGTAGTTCATGTGTGATTGAGGGTGATTCTATGAACGTCGTTCAATGGTGTAATAAGGAGCTTCGGGTCCCCTAGGATCTCACATCATGCTAACTTCAGATTATGGACCTAGTGTATCCGTTGTTGTCTATCGCTTTTCTTCATATTTATAGAGAGACAAATTCTTGGCTAGACTATCTTGCTAAAGGAGGCACATCTCTATCGTCTCTTTCTATTTCTCTAGATGTAATCTCCTTTTTGTGAAGCTATTCTAATAAAGGTTATAAGTTCTGTAAAAAAAAAAAAAATCAAATTGAAAAAATCTTTATAAGTAGCACTTTTGTCCAAAGGATTAATCATACAATTTGCTCCTACAAGAACACGATGTACTCATTCAAAGATAAAAAGAACAAATTTATACAAAGGCAAGGCCATAAACAATCAAATTAAGGCCACCTCAAAAATTCACAAAAAACAAGTTTCGATGCCCAAAAATCCTCAATTGATTATCTTGACCTCAAGATATATAGATACGAGAAAAAATGGATTTCAAGTCTTAGACATAGTATATCTTATAATGCATTGCAGACTATATACTTCAAAATTTTCAAGTGCTTATGGATCTACTCAATTTACACTATTTTTTAAGCCTTAAATTTTATAATTAAAGGTAAAAGTAAATTTTCAAGCTATCATAAAGATTTTCAGTATTGAACAATACTATTTGAGGGTACACCTTACGTTGATTCTTTAGGGCCTCGGCTTTATACAAACCCCATCCAAAATAAAATATGAACAAACCGACCATCTCGTACAGCACAAGGTTTTTGACCAAAAAGAATAGTAGGTCGGCTTTGTTCAGTGTTTTTTTGGGTAAACGTCAAAGATTTGAACCCTTGACCTCCTCACCTAAACTATATGTCCGCCCTAAGCTGATTGTAGACCTTGAGTTGCGTACAGCACAAGGTCTTCGGCACCCAAGTTAAGAGGTGAGGTCTAGTTGACGATCAAGGGGTCATGGTCCGGGGCAGGGTTTTTGCTAAAATAGCTGATCAAGAATAGTATCATCTATTTGTTAACATTCAAGCATCACTTACTAAAGCACTCTAACATCTCTAAGTCGGATGCAATAATTGTGAAGTTTGGCCATATATTACTTGAAGGTAGTTTCTTCTAATGTTATCAGTATCGGATTGGCCATCGAATTGAGAAGGGGTATCATCTGGTTAAAACCAATCCAACAACTCATGGAAATATTTGGATTAAATTTTAGAGAAAAACGAAAGAAAATTAAATATAATAATTTAAAATAAAAAATATGTAAAAAAAAAATCAAAACATTTAAGTGATCACACTAACAAAAATCGGCAGGTCCGACTAGCCAAAACAAATCAAACATTAATTTTGACTGGTTATCAATCAAACCTAGTTTTTATCTTGGATCAAACTAGCCAAAACACCAATCAACGGTTCAAAGGAATATAGACTAATGATGATCTTTATTTTTTAAGAATGAAAGAATTTAAGAATAAACACGCGGAAAGTTGAGCAACATACTCATATCCCCCTATTATGATGAAGGTTCCTTCTCTCATAAAGGAAAAATTGTCGGTCTAATATTAGTGACTAAAAAATCCCAGTTCGACTCGAGGAAACTCTTGAGTTGGACCGATTCAGGAGGTTGGCCATTCTCAGTTAAAAATCATGTGAGCTCCATGTTTACTACTATGATTATATGAAATATAACCCGATCTGACTAGGAAATCACCCGAGTCTGACTGGAAATTGGACCCTTGCATAGTCATGAATTACATTTTAACTTTTATACAAGAGAAATGATCCTATAAGACCCTCTTCCACCTTTGTGTGTAAGACCCTCTCCTATTCATGTGTGTAGGATCCCAAACGATCACCATTAAATCTATAAAAAAATCAAATCGCACACCCATGTGATAATTTTTTTAGAGACCCGTGCCAACTTTAATGATGATCCTTTGAGATCCTACAAACATGGTGAGAGAGGGTCCTATGGGATCATCACTCTTTGTACAAATAGTTTAACGAAAACGTTTTTCTCCTCTGCCCATTCATGAGTGGGAAGGAGAATTGATTGTCTCACTCTTGAATAGATCTTTTTGCACTTCAAGAAAATGCTACAAAAATGCTCACCTACCCATTTAAAAAGAAAACTGTTTGCACTTATAGCCAGTACTTCAAAATCTAACAAT